CCTTCGTGTTGCTAGTCCTTCGGTCACGCGCCTTCTTGCTACTATTGTCACTAACCCTTCCTTTGAGTCCACTGCTGCGTCTGCCCTAGTTGCTGAGCTTGTCGGCTTCGCTGCTCGCTATCGTCTAGACTACGCTGCCAGTCTCGTTGCTGAATCTGAGTCTGTCTGTGCTCCGTCCGTCGGGGGTGAGTGTGCTCTTAGCACGGACGTCCTTGAGGACAAGCAGGAGGAGTTCCTGTGGGGCAGGGGAGTGCAGTGGCGGAGACGCTGCTCTTACCAGGCAAGTGGGGCGGTCTCGGGCAGGCCGTCAGGCGGCAGCGCCTCGGCTGCGGTGTGGCTCGGCGGCTCGGCTGCTGGGCGGCTCGGCGGTCGGACGGCTCGGCTGCAGGGCGGCTCGGTGGTCGGGCGGCTCGGCTGCTGGGCGGCTCGGCGGTCGGGCGGCTTGGCTGCAAGGTGGCTCGGCGGTCGGGCGGCTCGGCTGCTCGGCGGTTTCGGCTGCTCGGCGGCTCGGCTGCTCGGTGGCTGGGCTGCCTGGAGGCTCGGGCGCTGGGCGGCTGAGCGGCGACGGGGCCGTGGAAGGGCGGCGACGGGGTCGCTGAAAGGGCGGCGACGGGCCGCTGAAAGGGCGGCGACGGGCCGCTGAAAGGGCGGCGACGGGCCGCTGTAAGGGCGGTTACTGGGCCGCGGAAGGGGGGGGAGGGGGGCGATGGGGCCGCTGCAGGGTGGCGACTGGGCCGCGGAAGGGCGGCGACGGGGCCGCTGAAAGGGCGGGCGGTGACGGGGCCGCTGAAAGGGCGGTGACGGGGCCGCTGAAAGGGCGGCGACGGGGCCGCTGAAGGGCGGTGACGGGGCCGCTGGAGGGCGGCAACGGGGCCGCGGAAGGGCGGTGTCGGGTCCGAGGAAGGGCGGCGACGGCGCTGCTGTAAGGGCAGGCGGCGAGGTCGTGGAAGGGCGGCGACGGGGCCGTGGAAGGGCGGCGACGGGGCCGCTGAAAGGGGGGCGACGGGGCCGCTGAAAGGGCGGCGACGGGGCCGCAGTAAGGGGCGGCGACGGGGCCGCTTAAAGGGCGTCGCGACGGGGCCGCAAGGGCGGCGCGACGGGGCCGCAAGGGCTGCGCGACGGGGCTGCAAGGGCGGCGCGACGGGGCCGTTAGGGGCCGTAAAAGGGGCCGCTAGAGGCCGCTAGAGGGGGAACGACACGGGGCGCGACTCGGGCAGGGGCCAAGGGTGCTCCGGGCAGGAAATAAAAGTCGGTGGGCCCTAGAAACAGTTCCCACGAGGGAACCAGCTCTGATACCATGTGATAATTAGAACGAGAGAATGAATGAACTAAGAAACAGTTGGGTACAAGTGCTAACCCTATTTAGGTTGTACCCCTTATGGACTACCCCACTACAGCCCACACAAATGTATAAGCTATAATGTTCTGACAGGAAGTCACACGAGTCGCGACTCGGGCAGGGGCCAAGCGTGCTCCGGGCAGGAAAAAAAAGGTCGGTGGGCCCTAGGAACAGTTCCCACGAGGGAACCTGCTCTATACCATGTGACAATTAGAACGGGAATGAATGAACTATGAAACAGTTGGGTACAAGTACTAATCGTAATTGGGTTGTACCCCTTATGGGCTACCCCACTACAGCCTACACAGATGTATAAGCTATATGTTATGACATGTTTACGTGTCCTCTCAGGCCAACACTGCTGATATCTTCACCAAGGCACTTCAACCTTATGACCATCAGCGGTTCTATACTATTCTAGGCCTTGTACCTACTTGGCCTCACTTGCTCATTTCTTGACTTTACTTGTACTGTGATCTATATACTTATACCTACATGCTTACACTTGCTAGGTTGTGAACACTATTCTGCTTGTTCTCCCTTATATATATATAACTCTGCATGTGAACTGGCCTTGTGGCCATTTGCTTGTGCTCAGAATGCATGGTGACTTCGTGATCCACCCTGAGCTTGCTTTGCTTTTCTTGACTGGTCTTGTAACCCCTTGTTCTCCCCCACTTTGCCTATGGGGGTGTGTCGAACAAATATGCTGCTTATTGTTTAGGCTGTAGTGGGGTAGCCCATATGGGGTACAAACCAAATTAGAGTTTCCTACTTGTACCCATCCTGCTGCTAGTTCATTCATCCCTGTTCGTTATTTTGACACGCTTTTGGCGGCCTTTATTTCTCCCCTTTGCCCTTCTTTCTGGCATTGCGTCTCCAGCAACCATCTTTTAGCTTCGGCCTCCCCTGTCCACCGTGTCCTCCCCTCGCCTCCCCCCCATCTCCCCTCCTTTCTCCTCTTGCCTTCTACTGAATTCGGGAAGGTTATGACTGGGACGCTTCTCAACCTCAGAGCATTTGCGTAACACCTGCGTAACTGGCCTTGTGTCGAGACTATAAATAGCCTCGTGCTCTACTCATGTGAATCAATCAATTTCATTCTTAATTTTCTGAACCCGATCCTCGATCCTCACACTTGGTAATCACAGCTTGTTTACCCGCGACTTTCTTTCGACCACTAAGAACCGACTTAGAAAAACTGCAGGGGCGACGAACGCTAAACACCGATTTCGGGTACGTAAAACCAATTCCGCGTTTTTTTGTGTTTTTTTTTTTTACCCCTCGGTTCGGTATCGGACGTGATGTCGGCAAGAATGGAAGGGCAAGGCGACAGCTTCATGCAAGAAATCGCCAGCTTCGTACCGACCTACACCAGACGCGGATGACGCTTCAGCAAATAGAGGCATTCCTCGCGAATCAGCCGCAAGCCGCCACAACAGAAGCGAATGCAGAAGCGGCGGTAGCAGCAGCAGCGGCGATACCGGCATTTCATACAGCAGGAGCACCAGCTTCGCCGTACCTCAAAGCTGCTCGCTCGAGGCTCCTGGAAGTGTTCGATCCAAGCACGAAGGGATCCGACGTCCAACGATTCGTGACGACACTCGAAATTTATTTCGAGGCCATTGGCTGTACGACCCAGACAAATGACGCAGCAAGGATTCGGCTCGCAGCGACAATGTTGTGAGGCCCGGCACTGGAATGGGTGTACTACAGTGACGTGGTCCGCGGAGAAGGAACGTGGGCGCAGTTCCGGGCAGATTTAATCGCACACTTCGAACCTACTAAATCGAGCTACATGGTGCGCCTATAAATGGTGGATAACAAGGACTAGGAGATCCCAATCGGCCGCCACTTGATGTGTGTAAGGACAAAGTCTCTCCCCGCCCATGCCTGGCATGGTGCATGGCATGGTGCATAGCATGCAGTGGGTTTGTTTCATGCCATCTTCACATAAACTCATGGAGTTTCCGATTCAAGGTGCATAAGAATTTATGAAATTTACGCCTACTCGTACTCTGGCCAATTTGCCACCAGCACGCCCATGCTCATACTTATGCCCATGCCATGCCAACGCCACAACCGCCACCGACGACTCCCCCCTTTCTTTTGAAGGTCGCTGAAGCTGTGGATGGTCCTGTGGACATATGGGGCGAAGGGCATTCGTGCATACATCAGGCGCCACGTGGCACTTGCTGAGAGGTTCAAGGAGGCCGTGCGGCAAGATGAGAGGTTCCAAATGAGTGGGAGTGCAGTATGCCATCATTGCCAGCATGCTCTACCTGGGCCACCGTCTCACACACCACCATGGACTCTTCACACGTCCTCACACACCCTCTTACACACCTCTGCCACTCTCCTTATATCGCAAGGACGTCACCATGCTACCCCGCTACTGCCCTCACCCCCCTCCCCCACTCCCCCCTTTGTACCCCCCAGCTGATGGCTCCGCGCCCCTTCGCCCTCGTCTGCTTCCGCCTCAAGACGCCTGCTGCTCGCACACAGAGTGGGGTGGCGTGCACACGGGTGGGCGAGGGGAGAGTGGGCGACGAGGGGTCGGTGGTCGAGAGGAGAGTGGGCGACGAGGGGTCGGAGGGCGAGTGCAGCGAGGATGTAGGGAGGGAGGTGAATGCGGCACTACTGGAGGCGATCATCAGCAGCGGGCAGGCGCATCTCACTCTTACAAACAGTGCTGAGCTCCTTGCACCTTGGCCCCTTGTTGCTTGGCTCCTTGCTACTTGCCTTCTCCATTCTTCAACTGTATCTCACTCGCACACTAACTGTTGAGACGTCTCTAAAGTACCGCATGCACACTGTGAGCCCCAACGACATGCTGCTGCATGCCTGGTTCATTCGCCTGCATATGAGAGCATGACGCCACTTGACCTCCCAACCTGCCCCCCTGTCATAGTACACGCTGCACATGGCAATAGGGGTGGTGAAGATAGATGTTTGAGACGTCTCAAAATCTGAACTGGCGCCCGCAGTACACGATGCGCATGGCCATGGTGAAGACAGAGTTGGCGCATGTGCAGGCGGCGTGGATGTTCATTCAAACGGAAGCTTCCAAGTTGGTGCAAGAGGTGGACTTCTCTGGAAAGGAAACTTGAGTACTCATCACGAAACTTGCGGAGTAACTTATGAAGAATCGTTTGACATGATTTTTAAATCGTGTCCTTGAAAGAGCCCAATGACTCGATCCGTCATTTTAATATCTCAAGCTTGTCAGCCGAACTGACTCGTTTTCGCAAAATCTGTCATTTTTCCTAAACGATCGAGAGGGACCCTCCCTAATAGATGCTTGCTTCTCAGAAATCTAGTAAGTGTTAGAATAAGAGGCTAAGTTGAAAGGAAGGGCCTAGGCTTAGTAGCCTAGGCCCGTACTTAGGTGTCGAGCGGGTTTTGCCCTAGGGGAGAGTATCGAGTGAGTTGAGAAAAGTTGGGAGAATGTGTGCTTCACTATAGGGTTCGAAGTACATATAGCAAAGGAAACACATAAGGTGTTGCTTCAGAAACCCGTTGCTCACTCCATTCCTTGCTTCCTACCAATCGGAGCAAAGCGCTAACAATACGTGCTCCATAGGCTCCAATCACATGTATTCTCATTGTCCCTTCTGCCGTTTCCAATTGGTCAATAAACAGTAGGAAGTGCCACTGCCAGATGGGAAGAGCTGCGTTTGACGACTCTGAAGCTCAGAGAATGGGGGAGGCTTCCTCCACGGAGTCTGCGCCCGCGCAAAGCACTTCTTCCGCCAAACCCAGCGCGCCGCCCAACGGGGCTGGGCTCCCGGCGGCTATGGCGGAAGTGGTGGAAGACATGGCAGACCTCCTCATTCAGGTGCGCGAAAGAGTCTTCTATTCAATTCTCAAAGATGTAGCAGATTCCTTAAGCAAAATCGTCTCACCCCCTTCCTGCACAGGTTCTCCCCTCCGTTTCCCTACTTCCCATTGCTGCCCCTCATCCCTAACCCTTCGTCTATGCATTCCGCGACCCGCTTTTGGCGCCCTTTATTCCCCCCTTTTGCTCTTCTCTCTGGCATTACGTCTCCAGCAACCATCTTTCGGCTTCGCCCTCCCCTGTCCACCGTGTCCTCCCCTCGCCTCCCCCTCATCTCCCCTCCTTTCTCCCCCCTACTTTGTGAGTGGGTGCGGTATGTGAACATGGAAGACGTGGCAGCAGCATCAGACGCTGCATAAACCCTGCCCTTGTCCTCCCCTTTATCCTCCCCCTTGATCCTCCCCCTTGTCCTCGATCTTCGTCCAATTTTCCTCCGCTCTACGTGCAGGGGGCGCGGTACGAAGTCATGGAGGACATGGCAGTTGCGCTAGACGTTGCACAAATCCCGCGCTTGTCCCCACCCTTGTCCTCTGTCTTCCTCCATTTTTTCTCTGCCCCACTTGCAGGGGACGCGGTACGGGGACATGGAGCACGTGGCAGCAGCATTCGACGCTGCAGAAACCCGCGCTTGTCCCCCCCCTTGTCATTGGTCTTTCTCCATTTTCCTCCGCCCAACATGTTTGGGTCACGGTACGAGGAGATGGAGCACGTGGCAGCAGCATTAGACGCTGCATAAACCCTGCCCTTGTCCTCCCCTTTATCCTCCCCCTTTATCCCCCCCCTTGTACTCGATCTTCGTCCAATTTTCCTCCGCTCTACGTGCAGACGGCACGATAGGAAGACGTGGAGGACATGACAGCAGCGTTGACGCTGCAGAAAACCCGCGCTTGTCCCCCCCTTGCCCTCCCCCCTGTCCTCGGTCTTCCTCCATTTTTCCTCCGCCCCACTTGCAGGGGGCGCGGCACGGGGACATGGAGGACGTGGCAGCAGCGTTCGACGCTGCAGAAACCCGCGCTTGTCCCCCCCCTTGTCATCGGTCTTTCTCCATTTTCCTCCGCCCCACGTGTTATGGTCGCGGTACGAGGAGATGGACGACGTGGCAGCAGCGTTTGACATTGCAGAAACCCCACACTTGTCCCCCACCTTGTCCTCCACCTTGTCCTCCACCTTGTCCTCGGTGTTCCTCCAATTTTCCTCCGCCCCACATGTGTGTTGGCGGGGGTACGAGGACATGGAGGACGTGGCAGCAGCGTTTGACGCTGCAGAAACCCCGCCCTTATCCCCCCCCTTGTCCTCGGGCAGGGATACGGGGACATGGAGAACGTGGCAGCAGCGTTTGACGCTGCAGAAATCCCGCCCTTATTTCCCCCCTTGTCCTCCCCCTTGTCCTTGGTCTTCCTCCAATTTTCCTCCGCCCCACGTGTATGGGGGCGGCGGTACTGGGACATGGAGGACGTGGCAGCAGCGTTCGACGCTGCAGAAACCCCGCCCTTGTCCCCCCCCTTGTCCTCCCCCTTGTCCTCGATCTTCCTCTAATTTTCCTCCGCCCCACGTGTTTGGGGGGTGGGGTACGTGGACATGGAAGATGTGGAAACAGCGTTTGACGCTGCAGAAGCCCCGCCCTTGTCCCCCCCCCCTTGTCCTCCCCCTCGTTCTTGATCTTCCTCCGCCCCACGTGCAAGGGGTGTGGTACCGGGATATGGAGGACGTGGCAGCAGAGTTTGACGCTACAGAAGCCCCGCCCTTGTTCCCGCCGCTGTCCCCCCCCTTGTCCTTGATCTTCTTCCAAAAAGGGGGTGGGGTTGTATTAAAAAAGGTTCACGGTTCACCCTTGGTGTCTTTTTGTATCGACTCCAAAGTTGTTGTCCACACTCTTTGCGTTATCACCAGCAGAGCTCTCTGGCCAGCCCCTTCCACAACTTAGAATTCTGCCACCCCACCCCACAAAACTCCTGTTGACCCTAGCAAATGATGTTTTCTCGCATTGCTGCCGGAGCCAGCCCATGTGATATTCATATAGACTCAATCTCTCCTTAAAATGTTGTTGGTTTACTATATTTTTTCAGCTTCAACTCAATTTCGTGTCAGCTTGTACCATCCATTTGACATCCATATGGTGGAGTATACCTTTCTATCGCACCTATGGTTACAAAGCTAGTGTATTATCACTAATGCCATATCACATTGTGCGCATTATCACAATTCCTGTTAAAATATGGAGAAATCATGTGAAGTGGGCAAGAAAAGATAAAACGTGCATGTAGCTTAAGAAGGAATACAAAGTTAAGCAAAATTTTGGGTTAGAAGGAAAGTGTCGTGAGTCCAAAGGAAATCATTGAGGGAGATTCTGGGCTGCTCCTTGTACATGTCATTTACTGAAAATGAGATGCTGACCTGTGAAAGGTGAGGAATGGAGGGTCAGACACAAGGATCAATAGCAAAGGATTGAGGATAGCGGTATTGTGAGCAAGGTCAGCAATTATAGCACAAGCGCAACGAAATAGGGACATCTGGACCATCACTCACCTACAGTCAGTATTAAGGAAGAAGATATTGGTGCCTTTGTGAGGAACCTCGTCCGTGCACTTCTCATGCATGGGTTTCGGCACTGCTTCTGTCAAGCTGACATTGGGATAGCAATTGACATTCCTAGAATCGAAGCGGTGAAGCTGTCTCATGTATAAAGCAAGAAAATGCAGACTTAATTTTTAGAGTCATCTAAGACTTTTCGTAATAGAGCCGCCAATTGGAACAGGTTGGGGCACGAGAGGGTGGGTAAGATAGGGAAGCGTCAGTAAAAGAATGGAAATAGTGAAGGTTGCAAGGTAAAAAATAGCACGTACGATAAACTCCCCAGCCTGCCAAATGTGCTGCAGCTGGTCCCATGTGCCACCAGCATACTCGTCAGCAGTTGCAGAGGTCCACTGCTATAGCTCCTTCAGCCCCTCCTTCAAATACGAGTTGATGAAATGTAAGGTGCACCCTAAACCGTCAACCAGAATGTCAACAAGTCGAAACCAAGGGGCTTGAGAGGATGGGGAGAACTAAGAGAGATACAAGAGGATGTGGATGGGGGGAGGTGGGCTTTACCACATAAGTTTGGTTAGAGAGAGGTAAACGGAGAGAGTTGTTAAATGAGAGAAAGAATGCCAACTAGTAGTCTCGTGCATGGGCATGCAAGAAGCTAAGTAAGCCTACTAGGATAATTAAAATGGTTTTAGGAGAACAAAATAAGAGGTTGAAAAGCAGCTATAGATTGCAAGCAAATTTTGCAAGCAGCATGTGTCAAAATCCCAACCACTAGACCATTGGGATAAAAGGGCTTGTTAAGTAGCGGGTCAGTGTGCCCATAACCCCCTAGGCCAACGTGCCTGTAACCCTTCCCTAGGATCAATCGGGGATCTCCAGTGGACCTCTGACACCCCCCCGCACTGAGATGCCCGAGGTGCACACACTGGGATTCGAACCCGAGACCTTCGCTCTGATACCATGTCAAAATCCCAACCACTAGACCATTGGGATAAAAGGGCTTGTTAAGTAGCGGGTCAGTGCGCCCATAACCCCCCAGGCCAACGTGCCTGTAACCCTTCCCTGGGATCAATCGGGGATCTCCAGTGGACCTCTGACAGCATGATTTCGAAAGCAACCGGGATCCGCAAGCAGAACAATAGATTGGCTGAAGAGCTTCTTGTTGATGTGTGCAAAGTCTTGTCGGACGAGGTTCCTAATGAGGAAGGCAGGCACATGGTTGACCTTCAATGTCTTCAGCAATTCTGAAAGTTTGGTGATATTGCTATCCCAGGGCGCTTCCACTTCTAATACAAAGGTTGCTTGGCTTGCTTCCGGTAGCTCCAAAGCCAAGTTACAATTTTCCAAAAAATAATTCCTCATAAAACGAGTTTTGGCCTGAGAAGGTAAGCATAGAACGTAAATGGGAAGACGATGAAAATGGAAAGACCGGATAAAACACACTTCTCCTCCCCTCTGTTCTTCAACATATACACACATGCATATCCACACACATATACACACACACATACATGCAATTGCACATGCTCGCACACACACATCCACACACTCTTACAATCATATACAAGCTCATACCTTGAAGTCGGCAAACAGTGCATGTACTAACTATATATACCAACTTATATAGCTTCCGAAGATTGTTTGCAATGCACAAGTATACCGTCCTAATGTACGCTACTAGTTCTTGCCGGAGATACCCTGTGCAACAATGATGTTTGTACCCTCGCCCAACCTAGTCTACAGCCAACATCTAATCCCCTGAAATTCCTCTCCTTCGCTATTGGCACCTGATGAATGGCAGCAAAAACATGCTCATACTGTGCTTGCATACCTGCTTAAATGCCGCCAATTCTTATGGGACATCATTGGTCTTGAAAGATATCAGAAGCAGATGCAGCAGACAAGCTGTGTTCGCTATCTCAGAAGCAGATGCAGCAGACAAGTTGTGTTTGCTAGCCAACATGCTAGCTTACTAATAATCCCCACTACATCTTTACCTTCCCCTGCACCAGATTTTGCACCCTCAGGCTGTGCGGCAGAATCCGCGTTTGCACCTGCACCAAGAGCAACATAGGAATGGTGAGCTCGAATGGCAGCCTTCGTGATCCCCATTTTATTATCGAATATATCCGTAAACGCGATTCAAAAGAGCGCCAGTGCACGATTGTACAGTAGATCATACGTGCTAAAACAGGCAGTTTGCCGTCACATCGACATCCGTCTGGAACAACTGCAGCAGTCTGGCTTGATATGGCCAGGAGTCGAGGGGCTGAGAGGGGGGACAAAGGGGAAGGCGATGCAGGTGAAACGGATGAGGTAATTGGAGTAATAATAGGGCAGCTAAAGTGGTAAAAAATGAAACAAACAAACAAGAGTTCACTTATCTAATTTAGTGCCCCTTCTTGGTACTTCACTGAGCAACGATAATGTCGTTTGACAAGCGCGGCTTTGTAGACAAAGATTGCAGACACTGCCTCTCCCTTTCAAGCAATTCGAACATCATTCTTACTGTATCTCCTACTGCTCGTCCGTTGGCAAGCGGTTTGACATTACGAAATCCGTGCACCGCTTTCTGCCTACCCGCGCGCCGCTTTCTGTCTACCTGTGCGCCACTTTCTGCCTACCCGCGCCCCGCTTTCTGTCTACCCACGCGCCGCTTTCTGTCTACCCACGCGTCGCTATTTGTCTACCCGCGCGCCACTTTCTGCCTACACGCGCGCCACTTTCTGTCTACCCGTGCGCCGCTTTCTGTCTACCTGCGCGCCGCTTTCTGTCTACCCCTGCTCGTCGCGATGCCCTTGCGGGACCTGCGCATCGCCCCCGCCTCTTCGCGAGGCCCCTGCGGGACCCGCGAGGCACGGCTCCTGCGCGTCGCGCCGCCCCAGCGGGGCCCGCGCGGCGTCGCCCCTGCCCGCCGGGTCGCCCTGCCCTACCCGCGCCCGCCCTTTGGACGGACGCTCCTGCCTCGCCCTGCAGCAGCTGCCTTCGCAGCCCTACCCCACCCTACAGCAGTTGCCGTCGCGGACTGCCCCGCCCTGCAGCAGCTGCCATCGCGGTTTGCCCCGCCCTACAGCAGCTGCTGTCACGGCCCTGTCCCTGCCCTGCACCAGCTGCCGTCGCGGCCCGATCCCACCCTGCAGCAACTGCCGCGGAGCCCCTAGCCGCAGTCGTCGTCCCGCCCTGCAGCAGCTGCTACGGAGCTCCCTGCCGTGGTCACGGCCCCGCCCTACTGCTGTAGAGGCCCTGCAGTCGCCTCCGTCGTGCGCCTGCCCTTCCCACCACTGGTGAGCACTGCCCTGTTCGCGCTGCTACCGCTACTACTGCTGCTATTGCTGTTAGTGCTGCTGCTACTGCAACTGCTGCTCCTGGCGTGGCTAGATGCAGCTCCAGGGCCGTCCTCGTGTGTCCCTCATGCCCCAGCAGCTTTGTGAGTGGTACGCCAGTTGGGGTTGTCGGGGTGGCAGTAGTGGGAGTCGTCCTGGAGTGGGTAGTTTGGGAGCTTCTTGTAGTGGCCCGGTGCAGCAGCAGCGTCGTCTACGCGAGACTCGTTCACCCCAGCAGCTTCGTGAGTGGTATGCTCAGAGTAGAGGGTCGCTGAGTACTCCTCGCTGCCCGTACATTGTTAGCAGGGGTGTTCGGACTGGTCAGCCTTGCGAGACGCCTGGTCATATAGAGTCCCGCTGCTTTGCCCGTCTGAGCGACGCTTGGCGTACAGAGTTTGGCGACGACGCTGAGCTTCCTGACTCGGTGGATCTGCTTAGGCAGAGGGTAGCTATCTTTGCTCTTGACTATGATGCTATTCTCACTGCAATGTATGCATTGTCTACTAGTGCCGAGGGAGCCTGTCACCTGTGTGTGCCGCCTGACCCCGGTATCCAATCTGCTGCTCCAAGTGCCGGTGAGGCTGCTGCTCTAGGTGCTCGTGCGTCTCCTGCTCCAGGTGCTGGTGAGGCTGCTGCTCTAGGCGTTGGTGAGTCTGTTGCTTCAGTCTGCGCCTTCAGGTACTG